TGCGGGGGGGATAGGGTGGTTGATGAAGGTTTGCTAAACTGACCTACTCAAAAAGAAAGGCATTTCTCAATGATCCACCCATTTTTAAAGACACTGTTTTGAGTTAAATAGTATTTTGAAGGTAAACGCAGTGAACTGAGTTACAATACCTGTGAGATCCTTTTCTCGAAATTGTACAATAGGTAGGACCATGGCGCCTGCCAGCTGTTTGGCCAGCTCTGTATGGAGGACATTAAGCTGAAAGAAAAGGAACTCCTCAGAAAACTATATCCATTATTACTGGGTCTCAACTCACAGGGGACTCTGCTGAACACTTCTAGGTGGTTAAACAGCTCGGCTGGACTTCTTTAGAAAATAAATACCCCCCATAAAGCTGTAAAGGAGAGGCCCAGAGGCACTAAAAAGGTAACACAGGGTTTCAACTAACTGGGCCATCAGTGAAGCTTGCTAAAGGCGGGCCCAGTTATTCTTGGTTCACTGTGCCCACTCCGGTTCCGTGTTCCTGGGTCACACCCCCGGAGAATGGGAATGCTGTATTTGCTGGCAGTAGCATGGCTTGCAGCCAGAAGTCAGCACAGTTAGCCACCTCCCAAGGCCACAGCTCTCACTCTCAGAGAAAGCTCCAGTTACACCAGAAAAACAGTCTGGCTGGGAACAACCAGCCCCGAGCCCAGGGCCAGCAGCTGTGGGCCCCACGGATTGAGCGGGAGAAAGCTCGGTCCCTGATCCCTGCTGAAGCCGGCAGCAGGCTGCAGGCCTCAGCTCCCTGCAGGACCACCAGCTAGGAGCAAGCCAGCTGCGTTCCAGGGTGACCCTCCTCACCAAACACTTTCAACAACTCTAGGTGTCCTCTCCCCTCTGCCTTGAGGGCTTATTAAAATCCTGTCTTCGTAAACAGCCTAGGGGAAATAAACACACTCTCCGCAGGGCCAGCACTGGGGGCACTTTTTGTGTGCCCACTTTACAGACTCTATCTCGTTCAGTCCTTGCCCACTCTGTGCATTAGGAATTTATTATTCCTATTTTACAGGCAGGCAAACAACCCTGTAAGTCCGGAAAGCAAATAAATGGCACGGCCAGGGCTGAGGCTGCTGGGATCTAGAACGCATGCTCGTCCCACTACACAGCCTGGAACGTGGAGCTTGGTCCTTTACGCTCACAGTGCTGCCAAAGCTTCATAGGTCTGGGGGGTCTGGGGGGTCTGGGAGGGCCTGGAGCAACAAACAATGGGAGACTGTCCCTCAGGTGCAGACTTGTGGGCATGCTGAAGGATGTTCCGGGACTCCTGCTGGTGGCTAAGGGGACATCACCCATGGTCATTTCTAAGGACCCAGAGTTCTGAGCCATCAAACTTCTGCTGTGTGGCTTTTGAGATGTAAGGGGTTGTCGCCTCTAGCCACTGTGCGTTTGCTGGGAAGAGTGGAAGAGGTGGCCCACATCTCATCTTGGTGCTTAAGGATCGTCACAGAAAATGAAAACGGCAAGACCTGCTTCTGTGTGTGGATGCTGTGAGGATGGGACAGTACACAGAGGGACCGCCCGGAGCCCAACACGCACATCCTGGCACTTGCTTGACCAGTGGAAGCTGTGATGACAATCACCTCCTGTCTTGGGCGCCACCCCAGGAAGTGATCAGAAGCCTTGCTTTAGGGGAGACCACCGAGCCCGGGATCCCCATGGGACTAACAGGGAAGAGCGCATCCTACACATTTGACCACGCAGACCTTTCACGTCACTGGCTTGTTTTTTTAATTTCATGGTCAAATTACTTGTCTTAAAGACTTTTCCACCTGGTTGAGACCCAGGTTGAAGAAACACCCCAAACCCACCCTCCTCTTCCCAGGTCTGGGCCCGCTGGTAACCAAGCCTCCTTCTGGGTCTCCGGAGAAAAAGCAGCTTGTGTGGAGCCTCTGACGGTACCAACCTCCGGCTGCCGTGCTACTGCCCAGAGAATCCACCCACCCTGGGGAGGGTCTAGTCCACTGATAGAATCAGCACTACCCAGAAGAAGATGGCCACGAGCGAGCATTTTAAGCTGGAAATCTTAGTGGGGGTTCAGGCCACCAGCCACACCTCCGCGGCAACGCGCCTCTATGCAGAAAACAGACAACTTCAGGGTTCAGTCTACGGCTTCCCCCAGATACCTGTTCACTGTTAATGAAGAAAAAGGCTCCTCCCCACCTCCCCAAATCACATTTTACTTCTCTGTAACCACACTTTCTACTTACCTTTCACCCATCTCAATACACATTTTAAAGAGCCTTGACATGAGTATATCATTGTGATATAATGAAAAGTACAAATTTAGTCTCTGTTCCTAGCTCCTAGCACAGAATTCCTAAAACCCTTATAACTTCCTGAGCAGTGGGGACACAGGGGGCATCTTTTGTTCTAATACTGGTCTTATGACTATCCGCGGCATCACACCTTAGGACCGCTGGGTGACAGGACTGCCTTTTATTCTAATAAGGCAGTGCCTGGGAATATTGGGAAACAGTGTCTTTGCAGAGGTAATGGAGGATCTTGAAGTGATCATCCCTAATTTTCTAGGTGGCCCCAAATCTAGGGGCAAACACAGGGGCAGTGAGGCCATGCAGAGTCAGAGAGCCACGGCCAAGGCCCACCAAGAGCTATAAAAGCTGAAGAGGCGGGGGGGAAGCCCAAGGACTGTGGGGGAGTGTGGCCTGCAGATGCCGTGGTCTAGCTGTCTGGCCTCCGGGGCTGCGGGAGAAAACGTGTTGCTGTGAACTGATGCACTCTCCAGAGGAAACGGAACTCAGAAAGCCTTCTTTCCCCTCAAACTACTAACAGACGTAATAGTGCACAACCTCTGTCGTGGAATGAAGCTTGGAAGATCAGCAAGTTGAGTTACCTTCTCAGATATTTAAGTAGATATTTTAAAATGAAGACCAGGACAAAATAAGGAAAAAGAAAATTCAAGAAGAATCACATAAAAACATCTCATGTTGCTATCTTACCTTATCCACTACTTCAGAAAAATAATGGAGCGTAGAAATTACTTCTTCATCACCTTTGCCAAGAGCGAAATTCTAAGACCAAAGAATGAGAGCGCCAGGTGTCAGCTAAATGAGCATCACCCTCCAAACGCCACCCCACGCCCCTCCTCCTGAGAGCACCCTACAGAAGTGTCCAAATGAACACAGCTGGAGCTCCCTGCTCCTCCTGGCCCCTGGGGTTCGCACAACAGCCCTCTCTGGCCAACCCCTCTTCGGTCACCTCTTTCTGAACGTAAAGATATCTCAGGGAGCTTACTTCCTGGGGTTGTTAGCTTGAGTTCCCTGTAGCCCCCAGAAGCTGTGAGCTCTCAAGGGCAGCTAGCTGACTTCTTCTGTAGGCCCCTTAGAGCACCTCAGAAGGACTTTGGGATGATCACTAGTTAGTATTTATCAATGGGAAAAAAAAAGAAAGGCCCCCGCAAAAAAACGCTGGGGGAAAATAAGGGAAGGGAGAAGGAAGAGAGAAAAGGGAAGACAGAGGGAAGAAAAGGAGAGGAGAGGTAGGAAAAGCAGCACAGATCTTTAAGGACGCCTTTGGAGAATTGCTCTAAAGCGGTGATGAGCAGAGGCCTGCATAGGCGGCGCGGAGCCTCAGGTTACCTGCTTTTCATACGCCAGCAGCTGCTTGGAAAGCTGTTGGGTGGCCAAGCACATTTCATTCTGTGGAGAGAAGAGAAGGCAGTGAGATCTGCCCACGCATTAGGGTCCATAAAAAAGGGCTCTCAGAGCATCCTTTAAAAAGCTCTGTGTGTGTGCCTGTGGAATGACAAATATTTTTTTCAGGCATTATTTAGAAAACAAAAAACCAAGACAAATCCAAAGGTTAATGCTTACCTTTTCCCCCACTACATCCTCTGCAAATTACTGTTCCTTCTGGTTTTTCCGTCAGTAAACAACTGGAGCAAAAAATTACAATCCAGTCAGGCACAGTGGTGCACACCCGTGATTCCAGCAACTCGGGAGGCTGAGGCAGGAGGATCACGAGTTCAAAGCCAGCCTCAGCAACTTAGAGAGGTGCTAAGCAAATCATTGAGACCCTGTCTCTAAATGAAATAGAAAAGAGGGATGGGGATGTGGCTCAGTGGTTAAGCGCCCATGAGTTCAATCCCTGGTACCAAAATAAATTTACAATCTGCCAAGCATTCAGCAAAGATGTGGTCCCTGTCCTGTGGACTGATTGGGGAAGCAGACACCAAAAATATGGCCCCTTGCATAATGAGAAGAGCAAAGGAAAGAGGCTGGCGCATGGGAGGCAGGGACAGGAGGACCCAGATGGTCTCTGGGAAGACATGTCTTAAGCAGAGCCTTGCCCAAGAGTGAGCTTCCAGAAGAAATGGACATGGAGACGCCCAGCAGAACAGGGCTGGGGGACGGGGGCGGGCAGGGGGCGGGCGAGCTGCAACACGGCTGAGTGGGCCTGCAGGGCCCAGGCCAGGTGGGCCTTCCTGGAACTGTGACGGGAACGAAGCAGCACTGGGGCAGTCACCACGGATGTGACAGAAACACTGCTAAACCCAAGAGTCCCAGAAAACCTGGGGAAGGCACTGGGAGGCCGTGGTGGCCCCTGCCCCGCCCTTACCGTCCATTTCCCTCTGCTCAGGTTCCTTCCTCCACTCTCGGCCACAACGCGGTTTCCTACCACCTGCGAGCTGCTGCCAGCCACGAGCTGCAGGCTCCCGCTAATGCTGCTCCTAACTCGGGGCTCACTCCTGCAGGCCAGAGCCCTGGGTCTGACCTGGCGTGGAGAAGGGAGGCAGTGGCAGGCCTTCCTGGCCTTGGCCTCGTTACTCTCTTTCTCCGGGTGTTGCTGTTCTTCTAAGGGTCAAGTCCTGAGTCTGTAGGAGCCTGTTTTATTTTTTGTGGGCCCATCAGAGCCAATCCCACTTTTGGGGGTACCCTCGCTGCAGACAACTGGCCCAACTCCGCTCTGCCGTTCTCCATACCCTAAGGGTAGGCATGGACATGCCAGGAAAAGTGGCTCTCCCCATCCCACAGAACGAGGTCGAATGGAGCCCCGGCTTTGGCACCCTACTGGCATGCTGCCCCTCAAAACTGACCGGAACTGGAGGCAAGTGAACGAGCCTAGGTGCCCCGTCCTTCACTTAGACAGGAACACACAACACTTCTTAGCGCACAGTGGGTGCAGACAGATGTTTGACAACGGAAAATTCACCTAAATTCCAAGTTTAAAGCACTACCTGGACTCCTGGTGACTAACCTAAGCTGTCAACCAGGGCAGGGAAACCCAAGCCGGGGGACGGCACAATGAGGCCTCGCCAGCAGAGCACATGGACAAGGGGACCACGCGACTCACTGGGCTCATGCTCGTCCAGCAGAAGCCCCTTCCTCTGCCTCCTCACTAGAGAAGAGCGAGGAGGACTGCTAAGGGGAATTGCTCTAGCTACCCTGGCACGTGGTGAGGACAGCACCCTGTGGGATTCGAGTCCTCCCAACAGCAGCTGACACCGCCGAGCACTTGATTTACACCAGGTGTTTGCTCAGTTAATTCTGACAATCCTGTAGAGCAGGATCTAATTATTAACTTAATCTTACAGATGAAGAAACCAAGGCACAGAAAGGTCAGGCCACCTGCACAAGGTCACACAGCTAGCAGTGGCCGGGCTAGGATGTGAACCCAGTCTGATTCTAAACTCCCCACTCCCAGACATGACTCTCTAAGATTCTGAGCCCGACTAAGACGTAAGAAAGGAGAAAGCCCGAGCTCTACACAGCCTTGGTCTGTGAAGGGCCAGAGGGGAGGGCGTGCATGTGTCACTAACACAACTTGCCATGGCTGGGGGAAGAAGGGGCACAACACACAAGTGGTGGCTGTGGCGACTGGTCTCTGCCACGTCCCTCCTAACACACTGGGAAGACGCTGTGCTCCCACAGGGCTGCTGTTTCAGGCCACGGAGACGCTGGGCTTCCAGAGTGACTTCACTGGAACCAAGCACACTTACAGTGGCCCGTCACCTGCTCAGAGCAAGACTCAGCACATGAAGTCTCCTGACCCGGGTCCTCTTGAGCCTCACTCATACCTGACCCAAGGTGCATGAGGCTTCAGGAGACGCCCCACCAACACCAGCCCACGAGCCCACGCCCCAGGAGGACAGCCCCTCCCGGCACAGGCATCCAACTCTGCTCGCAAAACTGGGGCGCAGGCGGAATGGGGATGTGCACGACGGCGCCAGGGATGGCTGGGGGCACTCGGGGTGTTTTCTGAGTACCCGACATTGCCGCTAAGAGTTTTTCACACATGAGCACATTTATTCCTCAAGTGTACCCTCGAGTAGGTGTTTTTCTTATTTCCATTTTACAAAGGAGGATGCTAGGGCTTAAAGAGGGTAAATCTGCAAGTTAGTTAAATAAAAAAACCACCACATGATTAATAACTGGCAAGGTAAAATACTCAGCCCAGGTCTGTAGGCCTCTGAACCTCAAGTCCAAGTGCTTCACACAGTGCTGTTCCCCTCCGGAGCTCAACCTCTACCTAGTGAGCATGCGGGTGGGAGGCCTGGAGGGTCTGCAGACAGGAACACAGCGCTCACGTTCTTCTAACTGAAGCCCAGCAGAAGAGGTGGCCGAACACATTCTACATAAGAGTCCCATGAATAATATGCTCAGTTTTGTTTGGCAGTATTGGGGTTGAACACAGGGCCTCCCCCATGCTAGGCAAGGGTGCCCTGGAGCAGCTCCCTGGCCACCCTTGACACTCTTTACTGCTACATAAGAATCCAAAAAGACAAGCTGGGTCTGGGGCTCAGAACCCACTCAGCACACACAGAGCCCTGGGTTCCACCCCCAGCACCACACACACACACACAAAAAGGCAAGCTGGCACAGGGCTGTGGACAGTGCCTTCCGTGTTGGCGAGCACGCCCGCAGCTGTGGCCGAGGCAGAAAGACAAGTGGCTAACAAGCCCGACAGGAAATCTGAGCTCCTGGCAAGGGAATGTTTATCTTCTGCAACTGTCACCTAAAACCATCCAGAGGCCTCTGTGGGCACCATCGACCTTGGCAGCCATGAAGAGGCTGGGTGTGGGGTGGACACAGACACATACTCAGGTCTGAACCTAACACATGTCCAGGGGCTGAGAGCCACATTCATTCTATGTTTGCCACAGGCTGGGACACACGGGTGCCCCTCCAGGTGCGCTGCACAGGGAGCAGAGAGCAGTGTGGCAAGAGCGAAGGCTGAGGGGTGCCTGCTGAGGACCTCGATTCTGCCCTGGTGGAGAATGGGAAGCCCTGAGGACCGCGGGCTGCAGGGTGACCAGATCGGAGACTGGTGGAAGAAAACTGTTGAGTGGTTGTAGCGGGAAGAAGCACTGGAGGGGGAGGGCACAGACAAGGGTGACCCATCAGGAGACCATTCTGAGAAGCTGAATGGGACATAAATACAAAGAGGCCGAGTCAGGAAGCCCCGGAGAGGAACCCAGGCACTCAAACAGGATGCAGGAGTCAAGCGCAGCTGGGTTTCCAGGAAGGGTCCACACAAGGACAGAGCCCAGCCAAGGAACTGAGAGGGCACGGGGCTGGGAAGGACAGTACTGTGTCCATCAGGATGTGCAGACCGCCAGGAGGAGAGGCCCCACAGCCAGTCCTCAAACACAGAAGGCTGGGCACGGGGACAAGGCAACCTGCTCCCTGAGAGCTGAGTCCACAAGGGCCCAGGAGGCCCCACTCAGTGCACCATCAGTGGTCCGGCTATCAAGGGCACAGGGCAAATGGGCACACAGGTGAAGGGCACTTTGGCCAGGAAGTGTAGGGGCAAGGAGGGGTCAGATGCTTTCTCAGGCCTGAGGTCAGTCTCCAAGGCCAGGAAGGACACGTGCCAGGGCAGGGGTGGCTAGGGCCTCCTGGCGTAGATGGTGGAAGGGGCATGGAGGCCTGGCCCACTCTGACATAGCCAGAGACAAGGCTAGCAGAGCAGGCAGACCCCCAGGTCCCGAGAGCTAGTGGGCCTTCCTAGGTTCACTTTTCTGCCTCTGGGCCACAGAGGCAGCCAAGTCGGGCGGAAGCAAGGAGTTCCGATGTGATTCACGGAGCTGCAGGGTACGGGGAACTGAAGGGGGAAGGCGCTTTCTTGAGGGCAAGCACTGCAACATCCCAGGGAACCCTAAACATCTACACAGTGACAACAGGTAACAGTTGTTTGGAATAAAGAGCCAGAGTTCAGTGCTGGGCGTGGTGATGCACACCTGTAATCCCAGGGGCTCGGGAGGCTGAGGCAGGAGGATCGCGAGTTCAAAGCCAGCCTCAGGAAAGGCGAGGCACTAAGCAACTCAGTGAGACCCTGGCCCTAAATAAAATACAAAATAGGGCTGGGAGCACTGAGCACCAGGCATTAGGCAGGTGGGGCGGGGACCAGCTGCCACTGCCATTTGACTTAGAAGGTGGTGCTATTAACACCAAGGGCACGCTTTGTGCCAGGGACTGATCTTAGCACTTTGCAGATATTGATTATAGAATTAACCCTCACATCAACCCTGTGAGGTGGGGAGTGTGTGGCCTATGTCGAGCTGACAAGGACGCCTGCCAATGGAGTGGCTTGCCATACCTAAGGTCATGCCCAAGTGGCCAAATCAAGACCAGAATTCAGATCTGTTGAGCCTAAGGTTATACCGAGCCTCCATACCTAAGAGAGGAAGCCGAGCCCA